CTTGAAGAGCAACACTTACCGTGTGTGTATCCAACTTTAATGTGGCATGACAGAATGAGACCACCATAGTGAATTCTTTCTGACAAAAACCCGGAGAGAAGACCACTGGATGTCCAAACATGCTTCTCATGTTTGCTTGAAACTTCTTGCCATGCTCAAAATTGAGTGAAAAAGGTGGTGAGGTGGTGAGGTGGTAACCAGGGCCAAGGTGGCCGCCGGCAAGGTGATAGAGTGGCCTCTGGGGCCGGAGTGGCCACCGGTCGTGTGAGAGGGTGGCCGCCGGGGCCGGAGTGGACACCGGCGTGACTATCCCCTAGGAGAGCCTAGGAGTGGAGAGGAGAGGAGACTTCCACCGTGGCCACATGTTGCCTTCTTGATTTCATTTATCCTTCTCCAACTTCTAGCTGCATTAGTGCTTCAGTTTTTCATATCTTTTCTAGTAGTTTGTCATAAACACGGGCATGGGCAGCCCGGCCCGACGACCCGGCCCGAAAAACCCGGGCCGGGCCGGGCCGGGCTTGACATTCGGGCCGGGCTTGGGCTTTGTTTTGCAGCCCGAAAGATAGTTCGGGCCGGGCTCGGGCTTCAATTTTTCCGTATTTCGCGCCGGGCTTTCGGGCTTCGGGGCGGGCTTGCACGTGCGCGTACTAAAAAACAGCATTCTGGCCGGGTTTTCGGGCTTCGGGCTTGATTTCGGGCCGGGCTCGGGCTTGAAAATATGGAGTATTTCGGGCTTCGGGCCGGGCTCGGGCTTGAGAAATGAAGGTTGGGCTTTTACAGGCCCGGCCCGAAACCCGGCCCGGCCCGACGTTTGCCCAGGTTTTTGTCATAGCCTGTTAGCTATTTATGCAACACCATGTATTCTCGATGTTTCTTTTTTCCTTTGGTTTCAACTTTGTTCAATATAATCCTTTACACAACTTCATGTATATTCTTGTTGTTTCCTTTTCCTTTGGTTTCAACTTTGTTCGATGTAATCCTAGACGGTTGAAGACTTTGTTTCGGGCTTTGTGTGAGACTTTGTTCTAAAAAAAAGATGGCCTCTACAAATGGAGGTATTATTCTGCTACACCTAAATTCCGCATAAGTTGAAATTGTGTTCATTTGAATTAGACAAGATCTTAACGGTTGCATAATCTCAGTAATTTAATCTAACAATTCATCCCAAATTTCTTCAGAAAAAAAGAAAGGAAATGGGAATATGTTTTGTCATGCTATAGGGGACGTCCTCCAATTTTTGAATGTTCGGTTTCGAAAAAAAGAAACTGGATGTTCGGTCTTGCTTTACTCGTTATCCCCATCATGATGTCGATCCCATGAGCTCCTGTTCACCAACCGGCGGATGACACCATGAGACATGAGTAGCTGCTGCTTATTTGTGAGGATATGACTCTAGCTGCGTTGCGTTCGTGGCATTTCCAGATCCCTCTTTTCACCTTTAGCTGCTGCAGTCATGCATAATGAGATGGCTGGAGATGGTGCTGTAGAATAGTCTTGTGCATCTTCCGACCTGAAGAAGATTGACTCCTGTTATCCTCTTCGTCTCCATGTCGACAGCAACCGCCCACACTTCACTGTCCGAGAGATGGTGCTTGGCCAAGAAGCAGACGACCTTGCTTTCGTGCAAGCTCAACATGGGCATATCCACGAAGAGGTGACCAAAACTCGGCTCGTCGTCCACCTCCAAGGCGTCAGGCTGCAGCAGCCCGTCAATGCCGACGCCGTCAGCCACCGAGAGTTCAGAATCATAGAGCACGCAGTCCTTCTGCCAGGCATCCAGTTGGCACCAAGGGCTCGTGACCGTGGTGGTAGTGGTCCAGGTGGAAACGGACCAACCCGGGGAGGAGGAGGGACAGACCACCTCGACGAACCTGATGCGGATTGTGTCGCCCGACACGTCGAATGCGACGTCACGAGGTTGCGGCCAGTAGTTGGGGCCCGGCCGGGGAGATCTGCAGATGGCAGCCGGAGATAGTGAAGCTCAGGGTGTTCGCCGCCGTCAAGGACGTTGTTGCAGAAGAGGATGCCGTCCCACACGTCGACGAACGCCATGGCGCCGCCGCCGCCAATCACGATCGCCTTGTCCGGCGTGTAGTAGCCAAAGTCGGCGGCCTCGTCTGCCTGTGACGATAAGACGGGCTTCTTAACGGTCCAGGATCGCGTCTCGGAGCTGAAGACGAAGAGCTCGAACTCTCCATTCTCCGGCAAGGCCAGTGCAGCGACGTGGTAGCCTCCGCCGCCGCCATGAGACAGGAGGCCGACCGCACAGATTTCGTTGACCAAGCGCGTGCCGTTCGGTTGCGGGATTAGATAGAGCGACGGAGCGGCACAGGCGCCGCCGCCGGGCTGGTAGATGTAGTATTCTGGGAACGGCCATAGCTTCATGCGTACGGCGATGGTGAGGAGGACAAGGCCGCCGTCGGCGGAGAGGACGAGAGGCTCCCCGGTGAAGTAGGTGCCGGTGGCCCAGGCGAGCACGTAGGAGACGCGGGGCGGGCGGGCGACGAACAAGGTGGTCTGGATGGCCATGGCGCGGTGCCTGTCGTCCGGGTCGGTGGTGTGGTACCTGGCAGTGGTGGCGTTTGTGCCCTCGCCAAAGAAGGGCTTGCTGTCAAGAAGGCAGCTCCTGGGGGGATCAGCGGCGGCGCCAGCGTCGACGTCGGGCGGAGCCAGCGAACCCAGCGAAATCCCCGCCTGAGGAGCATGATACGCATCCATCGTAGTACCTGGCTTCGTCTGTACTGGACTGGATTGGATTGGAATTTCTCTCGCATGGATCTTGACGATCGCCAGCCAGATCGGTTGGGGTTTTTAACCGTACATGCATGCATGTGGCTTGGCTAGCGCACATATAATAACGAAAGGAATGTATGGAAAAACGGACATTCCTTTTCTTCGTGATGAACAATCAGACCAGGTTCGAACCGTACCGACGTTTTTTTAAGTATTTCCGTGTCAGACCTTTTTTAGGTATTTGAAAAAGAGTTTTTTTTTCTAGAAATCACAGATTAATAATTTAGGGTGTTGCAAATGTCACAGTTTTACAAACCGTTGTATTCAGGCTCATCCTTGCCCAGCATCTTTCACACAAACCGTTGTATTCACAAGACTGTATTTTCTTTAGTATTTGATGAGAAAGAGCTCTTCACCTGTTTTTGTTATATAAGTGTGGGGGTTTAAAAACTGAAGTATTCATTGCCTAAGATTGAAATGCCAAGGCTGCATTTGGCAGCTAAGTATTTCTAGAATTTTTGAAGAATTTACCGTGTTTTTTTAAGGAATCATAGTCTATCTAGGGCACATCTAGACGTGCCCTAATTATTGCAGATCTAAATGACTCGATCAAGCATAAAAAAGAAAAGAAAAAGGAAAAAAAAGAAGAAAATACCCTCACGAATCTCCGTGTAAGATCAACGATATAAGATTTAGATGTGCAATACTTATGGCACATCTAGACGTGCTTTAGCAAAACTGTAGTTTTAAACTTTTATGCTTTAGCTATCAATAAATACCACATCCTTTTTTTACATCAAAAAATACCACATCCTAATAAAACGTGGTATCTCCAATACTGTAGTGTTTTCACATTATCTTAAAAAGAGGTATTGACCTCTTTTTTATAAACCAAACTAGTTTTGGCAGACTGAACTATTCATTGTCGAAACTGAATATTGAGGTTCTACATTACCACAGTTTTAAATATAGATTGCACCCAAACTAATCGCGATGTTTTAGATGCTAAGGTTTGAAAAGGCTTTGTCTAAATTAAGCATAATTTTCCACCACGCACGCCCGGGCTGCATTCATTTATTTTAACAGATCTGCTAATTCAATTAGTAAATATATCAATCAAGTTATATGATGATGTGCATCTCTTATTTCATCATCTGGAAGCCATTTTGGTCACTACAACAGATAGAAATATTGTAGGCTGAAGTACCAGTTGTTTGGTATTATTAGCAAGTTGCGGGGGCTTTCGGTAAAACTGTTTTCACAAGATCGGGAATAGAGATTTGGAGTTTTTCTGTTCTTGAGAGAGTTTCTAGAGTAGGGAGAGAAGTGAGGCCTTTTGATCTAAAAATACATCCAAATTTGAGTGTTAAAATTGAAGATTTGGAGCCTCTGCCTTGTACTTGATTCATCGCTATAGTGGAGGGTTACTAGCCGTCCCTTTGATTTGGTGTTTCTTTTGTCATATCGGTTGCTTTTCAAGTGCTTGCTTGCTATTCGGTTCTGTTGCTCAAGTATAGTTTGATTGGGTTGATATTGGAGGCATGATATACATGATTTTTTTGATGCATTGACACTTATGTTAGGGTATTGATGTTGTTGTCAGCTGCTCTCTGGTGTATATTGTTATGGTGAACATTATATAGCTTGGTGTTTGTGGATTTTATTATATGGTTCAGATTTCTGCATGCACACAAGGTATTTGTGAAATGCATTAGAAGAACTAGCTCGCTATTTCGGTCGCTTCCGCCACCCCTCTACGCTCACAAATTATAACCATACACGAAGATTCAATATCTCAAAAAAACAAACAGAAAATTCAAAAATAAAATCCACAAGAACAACCACGTAAAATTGATGCCGTTAATTGTGGTTTAACTATTTCTCAATCAATTGAGAATGAGCAAATCCGCGAAAATTACTAAGTATTCCCTCCGTTCCAAAATAGATGATCCAACTGTGCACTAACTTTGTAGTAAAGTTAGTATAAAGTTGAGTCATCTATTTTGAAACGGAAGGAGTAACTTTGGGCTACATGTAAGGGTCGCTTTGAGATACACCAAGCAATGATTACTTGGATTTGGTAGCATTACCCTCCAAAAAAAACTTGGATTTGGTAGCACTTGGCACACTCCCGCAACTGTGCAAGGTGTTAGTAGTAGTTCACGAACCAATCAACACAAAGAAGTATTTACAGAAACCAATGAATATTGAATCAAGGAGACGCGCACGCTTCTCCGGCCGGGCGGGGAACTCCGGCGGCTCGGTCGTCAGAAGCAGCTCGGCGGCGTGACCTCCCCGGACGCGGACCCGCCGGCGTTCCGGCACTTGGCCTGCGCCGGCCGCTTGTGCCGGTACGTCAGCCTGATGTTCTTGAGCCTGATCCCGCTGCAGGGGTTGGTGTCGCTGCAGTCGAACTTGACCGCCACGGGCGTCCTCGACGTGCCCTCGATGTCCTCGTACGACACGTCGCTGATCTGCACCCCCGAGCTCTGCATGCACCGACAACAACAGGGTTCGTGATACAGTCGTAGTCAATGGCTTCGCCAACTTTGAGATGAAGATGCTCCGGAATGGTGGCATCTCTTACGTACGTACCTTGCCCGGGCATTCGACTTTGCGGCTGCGGGGGCAGTAGTTCTGGTCGACGACGATGGGGTTCGCCACGCGCTGCATCGTGACCTGCGAGAAGGAGACGCCCGTGACGGAGCCTGGGTTGGGCATCCCCCACGTCTTGATTCGCAGGCCGTTCGTCGTGCCCGTCAGCACCGCCCTCTCCACGGTCACGTTCCTCACCCCCTGCTCGCCGGCCTGCCCTCCCATGCTCCCGATGCTGCCATCATCCATCCAACGCAAGCACAAAACCAATGCTATCAAATGAAATCACAAGCAAACACAATAATAATGGCTGATGAACTGGCAACTGAAGGTGGCACCTGATGCCGTGGCCCGGGCCGCACTTGATGTCCCTGATGAGCACGTCGGAGGAGCCGGGCCCCAGGGAGACGCAGTCATCGCCGGTGCTGATCGTGGTGTTGAGGATGCTCACGTGGCGGGAGAGCTGGGCGTGGATGCCGTCGGTGTTGGGGCTGTTGGCCGGAGCGACCATCCTGACGCCCTGGACCGTCACGCCGGTGGAGTCGAAGATGACCATGTGGACGTTCTTGCTGTCGAGCAGCGTCAGCTGCTTCACACTCACGCCCTTGGACTGACTAATGTCCAGCGTCTGCAAGTGCACGTACGTACGGCGTCCGTCACAAGGAAACCGAACGCAATCGCATTGCAAAGAGAAAACCAAGAAAAGGTCATGTCATCACTCACCGTAGGGCCCTGCCCGGTGCACCTGCCGTCCTTCTTGCACGCCCAGTACTCCTGCCCCTGCCCGTCCAACGTCCCGCCGCGGATCGCCAGGCCGTCGGCGTGGTGGAACATGATCCACGCCCTGCTGTCCACGGTCGGCGGCGCGAAAACGGTGCCATTGACGTCGATGGCGACAACCACGCCGGCGCTCCGGCATGGGCCCTTGAAGTAGGCCCGGCTGAGCAGGAACCTGCCCGCCGGCACGCGCAGCACCGGCCGGGAGCCGGAGCTCCCCGTGTCGTTGCACGCCGCGCCCCACGCGGCCAAAAACGCCCCAGCCGAGTCCGCCCCGCCGTCGGGCCTCGCGCCGTAGTCGACGACATTGTACTCCGCCTCCACCGCCGTCAACGCCACCAATGCCGTCAAGGCAACCAGTAGCGACAGCTTATGGCCGCTCATCCTCTGGTTCTTTTGTTTCGGCGATTGGACGATATCTGTGTGAGTTTATGATGATGATGATTACGATCGGGTGGGTAATTGTGGTATTGCAACCCTGCGTTCATGGCATTAATATGCAGCTGCGGATTGAGATTGACGGAGGTACGTTGCTAATCGTGGAGTTGAGTGTTTAATTACGTCACGGCAAAACACCATCAAAAAAGGTGTGCGTCGCGTGTCCTGCAACACAACGATAAACGCGAGGATAAACGAGCTGTCAGTTTGCTGCTTTGACTCTTGGACGATCAATCAATAGGCTAATAATAGTAATCGCTAGAAAAACAATTAATAAGAATTAAACAAGAAGCAAACCGTCATCCGCCTGCTTCGAGGATTGGTCGTGTCTCGGCGTCCTCCCACTCGCTTGCAGCCCGTTCCACGGCGCGACCGCTGGTCTAGGTAGGTCTGGCTGCAGGAACAACCTCTTCTTAAGTGCTCATCCGCACAGGGGCGGATCTAGATAGAAAATGACTCCGTGTTCTAGCATATGATCACTCATATTTTTGATGAGGTGTCATATACTATATTTTACATGAAACTTACAAAGAAAACATCTTTCATCCGGTGTCCTGTGCACCCGGTAGCTCAATTTGGATACGCTCCTGCATCCGCAAGCTTATTCATCTCATACCTGTTCACACACGAACCCATCACCGTGTACCTCCAACACCGACGGTGATGCACCGCAGGTCACGTCGAAGGAGACCAGTCCGGAAGCGCGGTACACAAGCAATCCAGCGGGCACTTTTGAGCACCCGAAACCCCACGCGCCCGGGAGGGACCCAGTCTAGACGCGGGGCGGCTATGGGCTGCCCTAGGTCGGTTCGCCCGCCCCTAGAGCCTCGAGGATCGCTGCTCTTCAATACGAAGAATGAGAGAGAAAGAACAAGAGAGAGATATAAAACTAGGGTAAAAAGTACTAGATGAGTTTTGCGATTGTGTGTTGGTATTCAATCGGCCGTCACCCCTTTGGTATATAAGAAGCGGATGGCTTTCCCGTGGAAGGAAAGGTTAGAATTCACGTTCAAAACCCTAGTTCGGGTCCGAACTCAGAATCCGAACTTTCCAAAACTGTTCGGTTTACAACCTGGCTGCATCTTGCTCGTCACTTTTGAGGCAGTAAACGACCTCGGATGGAAATGAGCCCACAAGAAATCTTGACTGTTTCGACGAGATGAACAATTTTCATGTTGAACGTTTTTTATCAGAGCCCATCTTGAGGGGCTTTCCTGCTGTTTTCCGAAGTCTACAGCGGAGAAATCCAAAACCCGGACGAACATCCCCGGAGTGTCCGGCCATCCTTAGAGAAATCCAAAACCCGGATGATTATCCCTGGAGTGTCCGGCCATCCTGATGCAGCCGTGCATTTTGGGTTCTAACTTTTTGAAAGTGCAACTATCCCTGGGTGGTTTTGGTAATGATTAATAACATATAGCTCATTGAACTAATGCAACTTCAGGATAAATATTTCAGGGAAGTTCAATGATTGACAGGGCATGGATTAGGAATGTGGACCCCTTAAAATGCTAAGGACAAAGGATTGACTCAGGCTCTAAAGCTCAAGACTCTACATTTTACTTTTAGTGATCCAAGATCACATTGAGTCCATAGGAAAAGCCAATACTATTAAAAGGGGATGAGGTGTTGCTTAATGGCCTGCTTGCAAAAAAAGCTTTGTGATATGCTCCAAAAACCCTCAACCACTCTCTCATATCCACATATGTCCCAAACCAAAAGTCAAACTCGCCCCCGTCGATTTGATCTATCCGGCGCTACCGAGTTCACTTGGCATAGCCACTTCCAGAAACCCTAGTCACTTCGGTCTCACTGATAGGGATCTCGGTCTCACCAAGATGGGATTGCAAACTCTCTGTTTCCCTTCGTAACGTTTCGGTCTAACTGAGATGAGCGATCGGTCCCACCGAGTTCGCAATGCAAACTCCCCGTTTCCCTTTCGTAACGTTCACCGAGATGAGCGAATCGGTCCCACCGAGTTTGCCTGACCAACTCTCTGATTAGCTTATTACCAAAGTCGGTCCCACCGAGTTTGTGCAATTGGTCTTACTGAGATTACGTTATGCCCTAACCCTAAATAAATCGGTCCCACCGAAATGCCTAACAGTCACATTATGAACTAAATCGGTCCGACCGAGTTTCATGATTCGGTCCCACCGAGTTTGGCAAATTGTGTGTAACGGTTAGATTTTGTGTGGAGGCTATATATACCCCTCCACCCTTTCTTCATTCGTGGAGAAAACCATCGGAACATGCCTACACTTCCAGCATTCATTTTTTGAGAGAGAACCACCAACTCATGTGTTGAGACCAAGATATTCCATTCCAACCACATAAATCTTGATCTCTAGCCTTCACCAAGTTGCTTTCCACTCAAATCATCTTTCCACCAAATCCAATCCTATTACCTTTTGGAGTTCATCATCAACACACCATCTATTACCTTTTGGAGAGTGGTGTCTCCTAGATTGGTTAGGTGTCACTTAGGATCCTTCGTCAAGATTGTGGAGTTGAACCAAGGAGTTTGTAAGGGCAAGGAGATCGCCTACTTCGTGAAGATCTACCCTAGTGAGGCAAGTCCATCGTGGGTGATGCCATGGTGGGATAGACAAGGTTGCTTCTTCGTGGACCCTTCGTGGGTGGAGCCCTCCGTGGACTCAGCGCAGCCGTTACCCTTCGTGGGTTGAAGTCTCCATCAACGTGGATGTACGATAGCACCACCTATCGGAACCACGCCAAAAATCTCCGTGTCAACATTGCGTTTGCTCCCACCAAACTCCTTCCATTTACTTTCTTGCAAGTTGCATGCTTTACTTTCCGCTGCTCATATACTCTTTGCATGCTTGTTTTAATTAAGTTAAGATTGCTTGACTTGTGTAAAGTTGCTAAAATCTGCCAAGACTTAAAATTAGGAAAATGTTAGATTTTTATTTGGTCAAGTAGTCTAATCACCCCCCCTCTAGACATACTTTCGATCCTACAAGTGGTATCAAAGCTACAGTCTCTATTTGCTTGATTTTCATAGCTTTTGGTGATCATAGCCTTGGTTTCAAAACCTAGGAGAGTATGGCGACTAGCGAGGGAAATTACCACCGTAGAGGTCCTTACTTTGATGGTACTAATTTTGCTAGTTGGAAGCATAAGATGAAAATGCATATTCTTGGACATAAGCTCGCCGTTTGGGCTATTGTGTGTATTGTCTTGCAAGGTGAATTCTTCGATGGGAGAGAAACGAACCGTGAAGCTACCGCGGAAGAGTTGAAGATGCTGCAATACAACGCTCAAGCTTGTGATATCCTCTTCAATGGATTGTGCCCCGAAGAATTCAACAAAATCAGCCGTCTTGAGAATGCAAAGGAAATTTGGGATACTTTGATTGATATATGCACAAAGGTACCGACTCTGTCAAGGAATCCAAATGGGATGTGCTTCGAAGTCAAACAAGTTCAAAATGAAGGATGGTGAAGGTGTCACTGAAATGTACTCTAGGCTTGCTCTCATCACAAATGAGATTACCGGCTTAGGAAGTGAAGAGATGACCAATAGATTCATCATCAAGAAGATCCTAAGAGCCTTGGATGGAAAATATGATACTGTGTGCACATTGATCCAAATGATGCCCAATTACAAAGATCTCAAGCCAACGGAAGTCATTGGAAGAATTGTTGCTCATGAGATGACACTCAAGGATAAAGAAGAGGTTCACAACAAGTCAAGTGGTGCTTACAAAGCCTCATGTGATGCTCCTACATCATCAAGTGAGAAACAAACCTTCAATGAAGAATTGAGCCTGATGGCGAAGAACTTCAACAAATTATACAAGAGTAGAAGCAAGGAAAGAAGTTCCAAGTCAAGGTCCTACAATGACAAAAGATCTTCGAGTCGTGAACGTAATTGCTACAATTGTGGAAGACCCAGACACTATTCCAATGACTGTACGACTCCCTACAAAAGAAGAGAAGATTCACCTAAAAGAAGAATTAGAAGAGAAGAATCACCACCAAGAGAGAGAAGGAGTAGAGATGGTCGTTATGAACGAAGAACCTCCCAGAGAAGCAAGGATTCGGAAAGGAAGGACAAATCATCAAAGAGCTAGCTACACAAAATGAAGACATCAAGCTCATGTTGGTGAATGGGTATCTGGCTCTGACTCCGATCACCACTCCGAGAGAAGTTATCACTTTGACTCCGAATATACTCAAGATGAAGGTGTTGCTGATCTAGCACTTGTGTCAACCAACTCCTACGACATATTTGACTCACCAAATGAAGGAATTGGAAGATGCTTCATGGCAAAAGGCCCAAAGGTATCACACCCCGAGTATGTTGATTTCAATAGTGATGAAGATGACTTGCTAGGTGATGATGATTTACTTGTTGACAACTCTAGTGATGAATACTATGATGAAACGTCAATTAATCATGCTAAAATGAATGACAATGATAGGGAGGAGATTGAGCGTGTAACTAAAGAACTAAACACTCTTAAGTTAGCTCATGAAACTACTTTAGAAGATCATCGAGAACTTTTAAAAACTCATGAGAAGTTACGCTTCGAAAAGCTCAATCTTGAGCAAGAGCATGAGTTCTTAAAGGCCATCAATGATGATCTTCGAAAGAAAAGTTCTTCTTACATTGGCAAGCGTTTACTCTTGTCTACTTACATGCCACAAGTAAAATATAGAAACAAGAACAAGAAAGATTCTTCTTCTAGTAGTAACAATAATCATGCTAAATCCAATGTTGTTGCTTCTAGTAGTTCTCTTGATTCCACTGATGATTCTCTTAGCCAAGTTACACTTGAGCAAGAAAATAGCTTATTGAATGGAATTATAGAGAAAGGTGTTTACAAGAGCCTTTCCAGAAGTAAGCAATTTGAGGAAATTGTACGCAAACAAGGAAGGCACCGGAAGAATCAAGGTGTTGGTTTTGAAAGAAAGTTCAAT